TGTAGCAGTGCGCCACCGGGCCGGCCCAGGGAATGGTTTTTGGTTTTTTTAATATTTTACCCAAAGGTGAAGTGCCAAGCTGACAAGTTGAAAGTTCAAGTCATTTGGCCACCTCTAGCTTTCGATCTCTTTAGCCAGTACATATTTTGGTACACAATGTTTATTATAGCTTTACTGTATTCTAGAAGTAGTTCCTTTGAAATACCTTCCATGATCCTGGCACAGATTTCAGCTCCTACTCCAAACTGTGGCCAGCCTCCTTCCACGGTTATGAGATGATTTGTCTTCATGACACTGGCTTCTACGGCTTCAATGTCCATTGGTCTGATGGTACGCATATTTATCACCTAAACAGATAATAAGCTTTATGGAGCTACTGCTTCACAAATATAGCCTTGCCCCCATAATACCACTTCCTTTTTGTTTCTTGTTAATCTTTGGGTCTAAGAAAATCTAATCTGCCTGTGAATAGGTACATGAATGTATAAAATGTAAAAGGGGAGACTGTAATTAAAACAAAAATCTGTATCTCTACTACAAGTACCTCTGTTCACTTATAGGATTCATTTATCTTCCTTGGCTTTAACTTCCCTCTCATCAAAATAAATAGTAGCTAACATTTGAGTGCTTACCGTGTACCGGGCACTACACTAAATGTACTTCTCCCAACCACCCTATAACGGGAAAGTATTTATATTATCCTCATTTTATAGCTGGTGAAACAGATTTAGAATATATAACTTGCCCAAGTATAACTAGCAAGTGGTAGGTCCTGGATATGAGAGGGTTAGAATCAATGACTTCTGAGTTTTCCCCCAACTCCAAGGCTGGATCTTAACTTGAGAAAGCAAGAACTATTCTAAAAGACCCAGAACCTAAGTGGTAAAAAGCTAAGATAAGTATCTGAAAGCAAGCAGGTTCCCAGATTTAAGCAGAGACAGAAGTTGTGACAAAGCAAGATTTTACACCTAGTTAATCTGTTACAGAACTCAAAATCCTAGTTCTGGTCTTAAATTTAAAAGGAGCCTTTCTGATTCTTTAAGAATAAGTGAATGTTCACTCACTTCACATTCAATTCCCTCTTTAGATAGCACCGTTGCAGCTTCTAAGCAGTGGCCCACAGGTCTTGAATGGGAAACCACAGTTATATGTGTCCCTGAAACAGAGTGGTCACAGATCACAGGTCAAGTTGAAACTAAAGATGCTGTACCACTGTGCGGCCAGCTGAGGCTCTTGTTCATCTGTGAAGTCTTCAACTCAGCTTCATTTCAGTGAGCTGAGGGATGTGGCAGCCTTCCTAGAAATGAAATGCAAACCTACTGGACTGAGATTTAGAAAAGCACAACTGTATGAGAAATGAGGGCATCACACATTGTTAACTTAAGCTCATCCTATAATTTTTTAGTCAAAGTAAATGGCAATAACTTCTGGATTAAATCTGACCAACATTTATAGAGCTGAATTAAAAATAATGTTTAAATATATACTAAGTTCTCTCACCTTGCCTTTCTATTTTGGCTTTTCCAATAGGAATCAGAAAATCTTTTGACTGAGCTTCCGCAGGAAATTCAAAAGGAACTCCATACATCAATTCATTCTCTAGCACCACCACTGCAAAATATTGTAAATATTTAAAGAAAAGTAACTACATCCAGAATGACTAAAAACATATATACAACAATATCATTCATCTTGTGAAAAGTTTCACTGCGCTGATTAGGAAGCCTTGATTCTATCATGTCCAGTAGCCTTGAGGATGGTTTAAGTACTCACATTTGTAGTTTGGTCAACATAATTTTATCTATTTGAGGTTAAACCAGTGTTGTGGGTGTGCAAAAAATGTTTCCTATAACTAACTGGCCCCCTTATACTCAGAAATAAAAACTACATTCTTTGCTATCTTTACTAAATCTCTAAATCATTAACAATTTATATAATATGTCTAAGCCTAACTAGAAACTTTTAATGGTTTCTTCTATCCAAAGATTTCGTTTGAGTTTTCTAATATTCAAAAAAGACCCAAGGGTCACTCTGCTGACCTGGATTGTTGTCCCGAATGGCTGATTTAATAAGTCCTTTTGCATCCTCTGAACTCCAGGGGCTGACCACCTTTAAGCCTGGACAGTGCCCATACCACGCAGCAAAGCACTGTGAGTGTTGGGCAGCTACGCCTGCTGAGGCGCCATTGGGTCCCCTGAAGACTATGGGCACAGGCTGAAGGCCCCCCGACATGTAGTAGGTCTTGGCAGCTGAGTTTATAACCTGGTCAATGGCTTGCATAGAAAAATTGAAGGTCATAAATTCACAAATGGGCCGCAACCCAGCCTGTCAAATCAAAAACACAGATGTTAAAAAGACTAGAAACAGCAATGAAGAGTGGCAAACAACCACTCCATTCTTCCAGCTTTCAAACAAAGTCTTTAAAAGGCCATGTTAAAAGAAATCTCTTTGGATAAGCTTCATAAAGAGTATTACATACCATAGCCGCACCTACAGCAATTCCAGCAAAGCCCATCTATAAAGTAAAATGCAAATGTAAGTGAAAATTCATAAATATTAGGATAGGGAACACTAACAGACACACCCCTCAAAGGTTTGCTTCCCGCTGGAAGGCCTACCTCAGATATGGGAGTGTCTATGATCCTCTTGTCTCCATATTTCTTCCACAGGCCTCGACTAACCTACAATTAAGAGTTGACCCCATTACTTTGAAGAGTATCTGGGGACAAATGGCTGCTTCAATTTTGTGTAACATTCACATATTTTGATTACCTTGTATGCCCCATCATACTGGGCAACTTCTTCCCCAAGCAGAAATACTTTCTCATCTCTTTCCAACTCCTCATCCATACCTTGATTTATAGCATCACGAACTGTCACCTGTCACAAATATGGGAAAACAATCAATAAGCTACAGGATTATTTAGGATATTATTGAAATTCTCTTACTTTATACTTACACAGGCTGCCCACAGCATACAATATAAAAACTAACACTAGAACAGGTTTCTTCTTAAAAGTTCAAAGAATTCTAAAAGTAACATTTCTATCACACATAGTGGGTCTTTGATAGGATGTGTTAATGATCAGCTTACTGAACATTTTCCTTGAGGTGCACCCAAGCTTAAGAAAACTGCTTGCTGGCCAGATTAGCTCACAGACATTTTCCTAAGTATAAAATATATGGGGTTTTATTACCATACTTGTAGTACTATGGAGGCAGAGAAATATCAAGGAAGCCTAACTAATGCTAAGTACTGAGCACTCACTAGGTGTCAGACACTGTCAAACACTTTGCATTCAGGACATAAGAGTTGTTATTTTAATATACATAATGGTTAGAATCCTCTAGTTAAAAAAGGGGGGAGGGGTAATTACCATATGATCTAGCAATTGCACTTCTAGGTATTTACTAAAAAGAACTGGAAGCAGGGATTCAAACATTCTTGCACACCAACGTTCATAGCGGTATTATTCACAGTAGCCAAAAGACAGAAACAATCCAAATGTCCATCTTTGGATGGATAAACAAAATGTGGTATATACATACAACGGAATATTATTCAGCTTCACAAAGGAATCAAATCCTGACACATGCTACAACATCGATGAAACCTGATGACATTATGCTAAGTGAAATAAGCCAGACACAAAAGGACAAATGATTCCACTTATGTGAATAAGTGGAGAATAGGCAAACTCATAGAGACAGAAAAGTACAACAGAAGTTACCAGGGACTCTAGGGAGGGGGAATGAGGAGTTATTGTGTAATGGATACAGAGTTTCTGTTTGGGATGATGAAAAAGTTCTGAAAATGAATAGTAGTGTTCGTTGCACAACATGGTGCATGTACTTAATGCCACTGAAGAATACATTTTAAAATAGTAAATTTTGAGTTATGTATATTTTACCATAATTTAAAGAAAAAAAGAGGGTGAGGGAGAAAGCGTCAAGTCTAGTTTTCTTTGATTACCCATCTGATCCCAACCGGCCTCAAGGGGGTGACATGCCGGTGT